TTCCAGACTCATGGAAAATATTGGAATTCATCTCCACGCCACTTCTAGCAAATTCTGGCATGTTTATTCCCAGGTGAGTTACAAACTCAATTGCTACTGAAGGTTTAGCAATGAGTTCTGCTTGCATCTGTTTGATAAAAACAAAATGATATATTTTATTTAGTTGCCTAACGCATTTCTCATTAATTTTATAACAAATATAAAAACAATGTTCTCATTCTTCTTGAGAATGGGGCTTCTCCTAGAGGTGGATTTTGTATAATCACAGAATGGCCAAGGTTGGAAAGGACCTCTGGAGATCATCTAGTCCAACCCCCCTGCTCAGCCAGGGTCCTCTAGAGCATATTGCACAGGATCACATCCAGACGGCTTTTGAATATCTCCAGGGAAGGAGACTCCACAGCTTCTCTGGGCAACCCGTTCCAATGCTCCATCACCCCCATAGGAAAAAAGGTTTTTCCTCAGGTTCAGATGGAACTTCCTGTGGTTCAGTTTCTGCCCGTTGCCTCTTGTCCTGTCACTGGGCACCATGGAGAAGAGTCTGGCCCCATCCTCTTGACACCCTCCCTTCAGATACTTGTAGACATTGATGAGATCCCCTCTCAATCTTCTCTTCTCCAGACTGAACAGGCCCAGCTCCCTCAGCCTTTCCTCATAGGAGAGGTGCTCCAGTCCCCTCATCATCTTTGTAGCCCTCCGCTGGACTCTCTCCAGTAGCGCCATGTCTCTCTTGTACTGGGGATCTCACAATTGAACACAGTTCTCCAGATGTGGCCTCACTAGGGCTGAGTAGAGGATAATTGATACTGCTATTCAATATATTTGATTCCTAAGTCACATAATATAAAATAAGGGGACACAAAAGCGGTAACTGTAATGTAGCAAATACATCAACCTGATAATCCTGAGAAACATTACCTACTTTACTGTAGAAGTACAGCTGCTGAATGATTTTGTACATGGAACTATTTGCACATATTTTTTTAATCTGAAGACAAGAGCCAGTTTTCCATTGTAGAAAAAAGATAGTAATTTTCAAAAACAATGACTAAGCTATGTGACAAAACAGAAATAGATCCAAGATTTAAACTTCCCTAAACAGAAAACTGCTTGTTTTCAAGCTTTTGGTTTGTACATTTTAGAAAGAGAGGACAGAATGCTAAACTCTGGACAAGATTCCAAAACAGTTAAAAGGCAATCAAAACTCAATTACGGCATACATTTTTTATTTTTACTTAAATAGCACATCTAGTGGAAAATAAAAGGTTAGGTCAACTGAAGCTATTGAGAAATTTATGTTAAATATTGAATAGGTCAAAACAGTCATTAATAATATAAAAAATAAATGAAAACATTTTATTTATAAATGTTTTTTAACACATTTTAACCTGTGAATTCTTTTGCTTTCACAAACTCTTTACTTTTTGAATTTTAAAATGAAGATGTTTCATTTCAGATCCAAAAATTTTTCATTTAATTTAATTTTCAATGTCTCTTTTAACTGAAAATTAGTATTTTTCATTTTGAGTCACTCACATCAAAACTTTGTATTAGATGGTTTGAATGGTAAATTCACATGCTGTAGCTCTTGCACTATTTTCATTTCAGGGTAATGAAAGTGAGAAATACACAAAGATTATTTTTAAAAAGTCATTAAGTTACATTTATTTCATAAATTTAATAGCCTCATGCTTAATATATGCATTACTTCTTACCTTAACGTAAATGCCATCCACAAATTATCTGCTGATGTCTAATAACTGTTTTTTTTTCATTTCAAAGGTATTTCACAGTCTTTAAAAATCTGCTGGTGTTACAGTTTTATTCCTAAATAAGTCTGTAGATCGTTAGCGGGAGCTCTATTGATACTTACGCTTTTTTGATGAAGCTTCACAGCTACTTTGGCTCCAGGTGTCACTATTCCGGACAAAGCAAACTTCATTTGCAAACCTGCTCCAGTTGGGAGCTCAAACTCATTGTCCATAAACATGTAGTGTACAAATAAGTCCCTGTCAGCACCTTTTGAGATGGCTTGTGCAATCTGTGAATCAAAAAAGAAAAGGAGTACTAACAAATCTACGCATTGAAATATGTACATTTTGTACTTTAAAAGTTGATCATGGAACTTGATACGAAGAATTTTTTTTTGGAAATTTTCTTTCAGTTCTAATTGTATATAATCCAATAATTAATTTTATGCAGAGTATAGAAGCTAAGTTCTACAGATTTTTTTTTACTTAAAAAGTGCAGTAAAAGCAAGTTATTAAATACTTTATCACAATCTCAGCATTAAATGAATACTACACTTTATCATCTGCTTTGGAATATTGTTATATGTATGTATCAAAGTGAATTGAATTAGATGAGATGTGACCTTCTGGCTTCTTCAAAGTCAATGGCAAAACACTTTTTGACTTCAGTGGAAGTAAGGTTTTTCCAAATGCTCCTAAAGAGTATTACATCTCCTTTTCTTTTTACCATGATAAATTATTGCTTAATATTATTATATGATAATTCCATATTTAAAATTATAGTAACATAACGCACTGGCAAACACTGACATTTAGGGGATTGTTCCAGTATATATCTCAATCAGGCAACAGGATGCATGACTTTCTTTTTCTCTTT